TTTCTTGTGCAATTCTTTCGGAAGACGGTATTATGTGTTTTGCAGCTGACAACAAATATTGTAAAATATTTTCCAACTTATGCATACTAATGCTCATAGCCATATTTCATAAAGTCATCTGAACATTGAGCCCAGCAAGATAGTTTGACAATTAATGAGAAATTGAGATTGCTAGCATTATACATACTAATGGATATTCCCCATTTTAGCTCAGGAGCTGAGAGGTCTGGGTTATAAAAAAGGGAAACCTCTTGGTCTGGTTGGAGTGACAGAATTATCTGAGGACCAGAAGAGACAATTGAAAGAACAACAGGAGGTATGGAAGTATTAAAAAAGAATAGATAGTGTTGTTGCTTTAGTCTTTTAAATTTCTTTCAGATCATACAAGATTATAATTTCCTGGAAGTTCTTAACAACGTACGTGTTGCTAACTGAGCAGGCGTTGTTTTTGGGGTTTTTTGCAGATGCAAGAGATGTATGACATGATCATGAAGCACAAGCGTGCAATGGCAGACATGCAAGTGATGTGGGAGAAGGCCATAAGAGAGCATCAGCACGAGTATGACAGCGATGAAGAGGTGGACCAGCAAGCGGGGACCTGGGAACATCGGCTCCGAAAGATGGAAATGGAGAAGACTCGCGGTGAGTTTTACCAGCAGCCTGGAAAATCATTCATATACACTTTAACTCTATAGGCTTTTGAAGACTTAGTATGTGATCCTTTCTGATTTTTAAATAAAAAAATGTAAATGTCTATTCCAGAATGGGCTGAATCTCTGACAGAAATGGGTAAAGGGAAGCACTTTATTGGTGACTTCCTGCCCCCAGAGGAGCTGGAGAAGTTTATGGAGACTTTCAAGGCACTAAAGGTCAGTTTTCATTTCAATTCAACACTTCCCCAAATTGGGAAAGTAATATCAGGATTTGTTTAATGCATCACGCATGTTGGCCCTTGTAAATCAGTTATATATATATATATATATAACTGATTTACAAGGGCCTACTTTTGCAATCCTTTCTTTTCCCCAGAAATAACATGCGTGATAAATATAAATTTTAGTGTTTTTTCCACAACAAAGGCACGCGTATCTTTTACAGCTGAGGTTTTTCTGAAATGCCTCAGCAGTTGAACCCAGACTGCCCATTTCCCAGCACATTCCTCGTCCCTTTCTGAAAGTCCCCTAGGAACAGACTATAATTGCTACTTCAAAAAGAAATCTGTGTGATTTGACACTGTTATTATCTCATCAAAAAGTATCGAAGCTGAAAAAATGAACACTATGAATGTAATTTGTATCTACCAGAGGCATGGGAAGTTGTTAGAAAGTCAGCTCCAGGATGTGGCTTTTTAAATGGCAAACGACATACAGTTTGAGTCTAAGCACGTATAAACACAGACAAGTGTCTTTGAGGAAAATGTAATATAACTGTTGGGTTATTATAGTACATATGTTTTTGCAGGCTGTATTTGATGAAGGCCTGAAGGCTGAGTGTTATTGAGATACATCATCTATAATGTTCTCAACATTTAAAACAACTACACAATAGAAGACACCTATGACTTACCTGTGCAGAACTAATAATCAACTATATACACTCCCTGTTTCTGTACATGTGCACTTCCCAAGGATGATAAACATTGTTGCTTTATTTTAGCTGTTTCCATGTCCCACTTGCTGTTTGTGCGACATCTTTAGGATTTTTTGAGTGTTTCTAATAAAACTGAATTATGATTCCTCACAGTCATAAAAAATAATGTGTGGAATCAAAACACAATGCTGCTTCTGTTTGTTATGAATGCTCAACTTTTTTTCCTGGATTCACAGGAGGGTCGGGACCCTGACTACTCAGAATACAAAGAGTTTAAGTTGACGGTGGAGAATCTCGGTTTCCGAATGCTCATGAAGATGGGCTGGAAAGAAGGCGAAGGCCTCGGCAGTGAAGGACAAGGAATAAAGGCTCCTGTCAACAAGTGAGCATTTCTACTTATAATATCATCCTTCTAATATTTAAATTAAACTGAATTCAGTGCAGTAATTTTATCATGTGTGATTTCTGGTGTTTACAGTTGTGGGCAAAAGTTTGCATATACTAATGGGCATGAATGCCGTGGTAAATTGGGGCTTTAAATTATTTCTTTTAACTGTTAATTTTCCAGGATGGATTGATTGTAATATTTGGTTAAATGTCTCTTATCAAGTTGCACCTCAACCAGACACTTTTGGTATTTTCAAACCAGTTCATTTAAATTGCCTGGTTTTCTACCACAACCCAGCTTTTAAACATAGTCTACAGATTTTCAATAAGGTCGAGGTCGGGGCTTTGGGAAGGCCATTCCATCGGCTTAATGTTAACCTGCTTTGACTGAAATTTGGTTTGGATAATCTTGAAGGTGTTTTTAGAGCAAGATCGTCTTTATTGGTCAGTACCCTCTCACTCCACGTCAACGTAAAACTCGCTTCAGTGTGGACAGTGACACTCCAGCAGTTTCCAGTTCTTGAGTTTTGGCAGTTATAAAAAGATTCCAACTTGTGCACCATTTCTTGTTTTGTTTTTTTGTTTGTTTTGTTTTTAAGTCGATAGAGAGTAATATATGCTGTATAATCACTCCATCCTGGAAGATGAACGGTTGCAAAAATTCTAAATAACCATGAAATTCATGCCCATGATGAGTGTAAGTAAACTACACCTGATTTACTACTTCAGTCACAGGGTACTTTGGTACATAAATTACAGGAATTATTAGTTCAACATTTAGTGCAGTAAGTATACAAAAGTGTAATTTGGTGTCGTTAAATGACCCGGTAATGACAGTGTCAGGAATGTATTACTTAGCAGTCAGTTTACAGTGTGTGCTTGTAAATCTTGTGGGCGTTTATACCTAAATAGGACTTAGCAGACCTATTTAGGTATAAATAGCTGAATATAAACAGAGCCATTATTACCACTGGCTCTGTTTCTATTCAGCTGTCTCAGGGGGCCATGAGTTTGATAGTGAGCCAACGTGCACAGTAGCCATTCATTAATACTTTCATTATTTACACCTCTGATTTGGAAGAGCAGTTGTTTCTATTAGAGACTGTAACACTCGTATCAGAGAGACACAAAAAAGGCTTATTTTATGGTCTCTCTGTCTCACTCCAGGGGAACTACGGCTATGAATGGAGCAGGATTTGGAGTTGACCGCCCAGCTGAGCTCTCAAAAGGTGATGATGAATATGACGCTTTTAGAAAGAGGATGATGCTCGCCTACCGCTTCAGGCCCAACCCACTGGTAACATATCTTTTATGTTTTCTAACATTGTAAAAGTAATCTATAAAATTTCACCAATTTATGTAAACTGTTTACATAATTTGGATTTGCATAAAGAAAGCCACACATTGTTTCCGTGTTATGATCGGTTGACTTTTTAAAGAAGATTTCTGCTGCACAGCCACACACAGTCCTTTGTTGTGCTTGAATTTAATCTGCTTTTTCTTTTGTCTTCTTACAGAATAATCCACGGAGACCATATTACTAATGTAGACAGCTGTTTATGTTTATACTTGTTCTTCTTTATTGTAACTTAAAAGCTTTTTTTCCAGTTGCCACAGCTCTGCTTCATTACAAAATGAACACTGTTGCACAGTAGAAATTTTGAAATACTGTGTGTGTGTGTGTGTGTGTGTGTGTGTGTGTGTG